TGCATAATTTTTAAGGCAGGTATCGCTAATGTGCAGGTATGTTGAATGCATCTATCGGAGCAGTTTCCTTATAAATGTTAAAAATAATGCCGCTGATGCGCATTTTAGGGTAGGTATCTTAAATGTGCACTTAAGCATAAAGGCAGCAAAGCAAAATATACTGTATTTGATAAAGAAAAAATTGGGACGTGAATGAGTTATTTTCCAAAGAAATGAAAAGGGTGAGAAAAAACCTTTCCACTGACACCTCATAACAGGCTAACCTAATATTCTCACACGCCGCCAATCTACTGTCAAAAATTTCTCATGTACAAACAACTTGTATGGGACCAACCGAAATTGAACGGCTTGAGTATGAAGCTAACTCAATTTCCAATTTTTGTTCTGCGTAGGGTTCGAACGATACTATCGATATTGAGTAAGTATCGATACTGAGGGTTTTAAAATGAGTACTTAATTACTCGATACCTTATTTGGTGATTTTACTCGATACTTTCCAATCATATGCAAACGTATGCAAGCCAATTTCCGGTGACGCAAAAAACAAATTCGACGTTCGTGCGTACCAAAACGGACGCCGACAAATTACTGTCAAAAATTTCTCATACACATACAACTTGTATGGGACCAACCAAAATTGAACGGCTTGAGTATGAAGCTAACTCAATTTCCAATTTTTGTTCTGCGTAGGGTTCGAACGATACTATCGATATTGAGTAAGTTTCGATACTGAGGGTTTTAAAATGAGTACTTAATTACTCGATACCTTATTTGGTGATTTTACTCGATACTTTCCAAAGTACTCGTAGTATCGAATACTTTTTAAAAAACACACTTTTTACATTTTTTCATCCATTGCTTTCTTTGCTTATATGGATTACTATCATTCAATTTTGTCCATCACTTAAACCAAACTGAAATTGCGTGTAGTCTGTTGCATAACCTAAACCAAATAAGTTAACGTTTAATGGCCTTATTCTTAAAAAATAAAGTAAATTTAAAGAGCTTAATAAAATGACATTTTCATAAATTTTTTAGTTTATAAACATTTTTTATTTTTTATGAATACGGCCATAAAACTTTACGTAAAGTTCACGAAAATGCAGAATTTTTAGAAACTTTTTGGGTACGCAGTTTTGTAACCTATTTAGATTTACGTGTATCCTACTACCGTCGACTTTTAATTCAAACTTGCACATTATTAAAAATTGAATAGGATACAAAAATGCATACCCTAAAACTTTACAAAAATTTCTTAATAAAACTTGAAAGTCGTGAAAGTAAATGACATGTATGTATGTACATTTAACGTTAAAATTACTTCTAACGTGAAAGTAAGTTCTGCAGTGAAATAAAAATCAAATATTTTAAATTTCTATTGTTTTAATTTCAGGAAATAACTAGATATACGATTGAAGAATAAAATAATTTTAGTATCCCAAAAAACGTATTTTAATGAGTCCGATACTGAGTAGTATCGATACTTTTAGAGTATCGATACCATGAGCTCGATGCCAGAATGAGTACTTAGTATCGATACCAAAGTCTGGAATTTCGAACCCTAGTTCTGCGTGACATTTTGATTTGACGTTTCGCTCATGAAATAAAATGCAAGCACAGGCAAGCCAATTTCGGGTGAAGCAAAAAAAAAACAAGTTCTACTGCGTGCGTACCAGAGACCGGCTTTGAGTACTAATAAAATTAGTGTACTTATTCATGATCCATAACAATTAGTGCAAATGAGTACTTACACAAATTCAAAAAATGACTAAGAGTAATTTCCACCAAAACAAGAACACACTCAAAATATACTAACTCTTTTTTGTGGCGGCAATTTTTGTCTCTATCGAGTATAGTCTACCCAGCTGGATTTTCCTCATTTGGTCGAGTGAGAGGCTGAAAATGATTTCAATGAGTTTAATATTATTTGTGTTCTGCTTTGTGCTACAGCAGTGTTGGCATTTTTGGTACAATTGTACTTTTTGTATTTTGTATTTTTACTACGCAGTACTTTTTAGAACAATTTTGCGATTAATACTATAAATATATACGTAGCTCTGAAAATTCACTGCGGGATTTTTTTTATCTTTTTGTCTTCGCCTTCTCGTTTTTGCCTTTGTAAGTTTTGAAAAAAGGGTTTGAAATAACCATTATAACATAGCAAAAAGTGTGCTATCAACCTCACATTCCTAGCCAAGTTTTGAAAGAAAATTTTCGATACTAAATCTTATTAAAATAAAATGGCGAAATCAGCTTCATATAGTTAGAAACAGTGTCATCGTTAAGCCTTTATGCTCTTAAATATCATAACTTCACGACACTCATATATTGACTAGAGTTGACTATTTTATTATTTTTTAATTCTAATTATTTGTTTATAAAAATATAGTTAATTCCTTAACAAAAACTGTATGAAAATAAGTTTAAATTTTTGAACAACATTAAAAAAATCGACAAACTTTCGTAAAAATTTCGAGCTTTCTATTTCAATTTTAGTATAATAAAGTGCAAGTTTAAAGCAGCTGAAATTTGCCATCAATGTCATATTATCTAAACGCGATTTTTTTTTTAACGAAGAAAATAAGCAACACCTTCATCAAAAACTATAAACTATTTTAAACTTGCAATTCATTTAAATTGATCGGACTACAAACGGCATTCTCAAAACATATATTTCTAGGAAATATAGTTAAAATCCCGAAATTTTTACGAAAGTTTGTTGATTTTTTTAATGTTGCGCAAAAATTGAACCTTGGGGGTTTTATTAAAGTATAAACTGCATTTTTATAAACAAATAATTAAAATTAAATAATTCTAAGATAAATGGCCAATCTTGTCAATAAGTCAGTGTCGTAAAGTTTTGATAAGCACTTGAAATACTAAAAATAAAATGTCAAACTTTTGTACTGAATCCAAAGAAGATGTCTCCTTTATCCATGCATAATAACTTAAAAAAATTTGTTTGTTAAGAAGTGTACCTTAAAATATGTGCATACACATTTATGTTCAAAGTGTAAAATGTACCTACATAAACTAACATCAAATCATTGATCTTGAAGGGAATCTATGATGCATGTACTAAGAAAATATATGAGCAAATTAAAAAGTCGATGCAATTTACAGTCGAAAAGTATAGTTTTTGTATAGATTTCGTACTGAAGGAACAATTTCATTTCCCAACACTGTGCGACATGCGGGCGCCACCATAAACAAGTGTAAGCTAAAAGTGTGAGTGTGCCTTCGCATGCTCCCTGCAAAAATCGTTGGACCATGTAGTCTATTTGTGGTAAATTGGAGTATTTACAAAAGTGTTCCTCTGTCATGCTGTAGCGGAACAACTCGTGTCTCTGCGCCAACTTATTGTTTGATATCCGATCACTGCTCGTGTTTTAACGAAATGTGATTGAAGTTGAGCATTTGAAAGCACATTTGCATGTCTGGCTGTAGCTGAACGTGTAGAGATGCTCGCTGTTAGTTCTTAGCTCCCAGCATGTTCGGGTTCGAATGCCGTCAGAGACAACATGTAATTTTTAATTTTTGTCTTGGTTTTTATTAATTTCGAAAAAGCATTTGAGAAGTGAAGAACAAAAGCGTGTACAAACGAAAAAATATAACAACAAAGCCATTGTTAATATGTTGGAGTAGTTTTGTGCTACTCTGATGTAATGCAGGGCTGGAGTATATGGTCCTGCCCTAGGACATCGCAATGTTAATTGGACCATATTTTTTATATGAATTGTGGTTAATTTTGGAGTACTCCTTGGTCCTTAGGGAGTACTCTTTGCACGCATGCATGGAGTAGTCGCGATTTTTGCAGGGCTGTCGCTTTCTCGTCGTTTGAACATATTTTGTTGCCATAAACGACGAAAATCACTAAATTCACTAAAATCACTCAACTGAACTATTCGTGCCAGTGTTGCCGCGCCGTCCCAAGAAAATGTATCACCGACCAAGCCAAAAGTATATCCAAATGTATCCCGTT